TCATGACTCTGAAAAATAAAATAAAAGGTAGGGTTAGAGTAAATGCTGTGGTATTTTCAGGCTTTTCTTTGAACTATTTTAACTACTGTAGATGTAGAAACTATAAAAAAAGATGACATTAGTACAGATTAAAGTGACAAGCTGGAGAGAAATGTTTAGTTCCTGTGTAAGCAATTTAATGCCCGAGGATATTTATATTAATTCAATATTCAATCAAATTCACTGTTTAAATTTTTTTTTTTTTTTTAAATCCTCACAGTGTCTCCCTAACTATAATAAAAACAAAGTGTGACTGGATTTAATGTTGCATGTTGCTCCATGCCACGAGAACGCTTCAAAAAAAGCTAAAAAAGAAAAAATCATAAAATATCCATTAGGATTATTTACACCCTGACATGCGGATATTCCCCTCTGCCTACTTGGTATAATTCCATTATGTGTGGTTTGAATGATGCCATTAGATACAGCACATATGTATAAAATATTCATAAGAGCGGAGACAGGCCGTTACAAATGACATTTTCAACACATCAGTGTTGATGAGAATGATAAAATCTGTCTGGGAGGACTGGCAGCCTTTTCCAGTTAATATCCAGTGTAATGGAACTGATCAGCAGCTTCTTTAATGCACCACATGGAATACATACAGTATGCAACAAATAGATTTAATTAACACTGATCATTTATAGGAGCTAATATTCTGTGCTGTTCAATTTTGTCTGCGATTTCCAGATGCCCTGACGTGCAGATGTCAAAGATTACTGGTTCACTCATCCATCACAGGTCTTCCTTTAACTTTCCTCAGTCCACAACATGTGACTAGGATAATTAGAGACAAACCCACCCGTGTAACATCTGAGACCACAAAGCAGTAGATGACAAATCTCTTTGAAGTACAAAAACAATCTTAAATTATATTAGCAACTATTTTCCATCCTAAAAAGAAGTAGAAATTTAACAACCATGACCTCGGTGTTATATCATTCTAGGCAGAATCTGGTCCCTGCGCCTCATTTTGACAGTAGTGAACAACTGTGTATAGCTGTAACCTATGACATTTAGCATGATTATTTAGCAGTACTAAAATACTCACTGTAAATATCACTGTCACGGCAAAGTCAACAGAGCGCAGCCACAACGTCAACATTAATTAACAACATATTAAACACCTTGTTTGGATGTTGAGAAAGTCCCTGCTAATGCAAAACAACTGCTGCACTTCTTGTTTTATGAACATTGTAAATCATTCATTAGATTAGCTGCCTGATCAGAAGAACAAGAAGAAAAAGAAACAGTGATCAAAGGGAAACCAAAGTGCAGGATGACATCTGCCTCCATTAGAAGCCCAGAAAGTTCTCTTTGTCTACTCCCCGCTTTGTACTGTCACACATTCATCAGACGTTGCACGGCTACAGAAACCAGCAGGCTGCAGCAGCCTTAATGGGAAACAAGTTGAGCAAAATGCAAATTAATACAAGTCAAGCAAAATGCAAATTAATATGCCTCACCAGGGTGAAGACTTAATAGAGGCTTATGATTGACCTACATTTAAAGTAAACTCTCGCCGGATAAAACGTATCCCCGTGGCTGTGCTCAATTTTCCTCGCTGACAGCCACCATTCAAATTCCCCTTCCCAATCACAGGGTTGCCATGGAAACACCACCAGCCGCCAGGCAATCATTAAAAAAAAAAAAATCCAAAATGAAATGCCTGAATCTCTGGAATTCCAGCGGGAGGAAAATAGTCTCTTACCAAGAAGACACATGGATGTGAAGTGGTGGATGAAACACACAGCTGTACTGGAACTGAATCACTGGATCAGGGAGAAAAGGCTGAGATGTTTTCCTGGTGGTTGGTGTCAGAGCTCCATATGTGTGGCTTTTTTTAAAAATGATTTTATGCAGACCAACCAAACTGCTGGGCAAAAGAACAAGGTAATTCAGGGGCCGGTGTTGTTCACAGGATGAATCAGCCTACGTACTCACAGGTAGTACATACTAGTACTATAGCTATTCCGTGGTATTGATACTGTATACTGATACTCACAGAAGTACTGACTGAGTATCGATTAAGCTCATAACTTATGGATTCAAAATAAGGAATGAAAAAAAGCACAAACTTTTCAGTCCTTCTCAGAGACGGAGCCACTGGTGGAACAGAGAGTTATTTATTATTAATGTGTTAAATTTAGACTTCGTTATGAGAAGAAGAGCTTTTTAATGGGTTCATCCTCTGAAACCTGTTTCTGTCAGCTCCTCCATTACGATGAATTGCTGTTGAAAACCCACTGACCAGCTCTGGCTTGTTCCCGACCCACACTAATGCCCTTCTCCAGTGTCATATTATTAGGATGCCCCTGGTGCCAGCAGCAATTTTCTGTTTTCTCCCCATATTGTGTGTCATAAAAAGCAGAAGGTCACTGCAGATCACAGCCTCCGCCTCTCGCTCAAATTTTTATCCTGCAGAGCCTCAAACTTTAATAAGTGCCATTGTCAGTCCATCAACCACGGCTTGGTCAGATTGGCTTCATCCTCCCTAGACAACTTTGTGACTTTCCAGGCCTGTAGATGTATCATATATAGAGCAACATTTCCTGTTTTTATAAACCTAAACTGGTTGATTAAAAGTCACATGTCCAACCAGCTGCAACGTCGCTGCCACTTAATGATACAGTGAAGACTGAACAAATTTGGTTCACCAGAAAAAAAACATGTCAAACTATTTGTCAAGTAAATTACAGACAGCGTGTGTGTGTGTGTGTGTGTGTGTCCTCAGGACCACACCTCTCTGGGAAGACAAGTGTGTTACCACCAGTCATCCTGCTCATAATTGTTGTTTATGCCACAAGGGTGCAGTGATTACAGCGTGTCCTGACCTCAGAGACCACAAAACACCACAAACGGCAAGCTACCATCCGGATTTGGAAGAGCCTGTGTCTGGGAGGACAAATTAGGACGACAAACTGGTTTCCTCCCAGTTGATGATCTGCTTCTGTGGCTTTTTGATAAAAGTGCTGAAGACCTTAGTGCCTATTTTTGTAAGTATGGTTTCATTAAATATCCATCACAAAACTTTTTGCAGATACTGGTTCTATGACTACGACTCTTCTTGCCCCTGGTGGTGATCATCATTAATGGCATGTGCTGCAGCCGCTCCATAAAGAAAAGGCTTTTATTCTCACTACTGTTCCCTGCTGGGAAATTACAGGCATTTACAGTCTGAACAGATGAGTGCTGCTTCTAAAGAGAAGTGATAACCTCTGTCTTCCTGAGACACATGGACCTGTGTGGCAAATATAAGGATCATGGGTATTTATCGCTCCCTCAACAACCCTCGGACTAAGACCTTGGCTTATGGCTCTCCAGGGGAAATTGAACAAATATTTGAGAAGGCTATCTGGATATTTGTTACTCCACACACTCCTGTCGACACAGTTGCAGCGTCAAAGCTGTCCTTTCACAGCACTAACACAGGGCGGGGTCTCCATGACACACGACATATTTACTTACTGGATGTAAATGCATCAAATGTTGATGTTGATCATACAGTCTTGATGTTAAATAAGATTAATTAATTGTCTACTGTTTTAGGTTTGTTTTGTTGTCTGTTTTTACTTTACTATTTTGCTGCTCATATTACTTTTACTCCTGGTAAAATAAAGGTTTGATTTAAAAATAAATATAAACATAAACCTTCCCCAGTATCAAAATGACTTCTCCAGAACCATGCAGCTTCCCAAACACAAACTCCCCGACTGAGATCCTACACATCTCTGACACACTGCTCCACACTCTCAAATATTCTCCTTGTAGTTTTTCACCAAAATGGAAAACACACACATACTGTCTGACACACTGCTCACACACACACACACACACAGACACACACACAAAACTATGAAACCAGCATGAACAATCCTCCGCTCGGTAACAACAGCAGATGTTTTGACAGATTGAAGCAAATGATCCTTTTAACACGTTCAGTACTGTGTGGGGACAGGTTAAACAAACAATTATTCAAATGAGCCGCGAATGAAAAGCCACGCCTCAAAGTGCTTTAAACAACACGCTCTCTCAGTCGAAGCTAACTTTTAATGTGTTATATTAGTCAAACAGAAGTGGGTTTTTTTATATAAAACTACAGAACAAAAAGGGAGAAAAAATATAATGTACTGATGTAATATTTTTATTTACCCAGTCATTTTTCCTTTTGTAACGTCCTCTGTACAGTAGTCTCTACAAGCTGTCCTTTAGCATTTGCAAAACCCATTCAATTTCCAGTTTATGCTCAACACGGCCCCTGCTTTATTGTCAATTTTTCTCTCAATAGAATCCTAATTTTGTTGCATGTTTTGTTGCAGAGACCAGACAGATTCATACCAATTACTGCACTCCTGGGGAAACATGGTTTATTAGAAATGCCTGTTTGCCTTCCAATTAGGTCAGGAGTTCAATTCCAACATATTGACTATATGTCTCATAAAAACTTTTTTTTTTTCCCTAAAATGACTTATTATTATTCTCAGGCCATGGTTTGGACAACCGTTGTCCTTATAGGGTCTGTATGTTAAACACAAGAACTGTCTTCACCATCTATTTCACTGCTTTGGTTCCACTTGGGAGATTCACACTAACAATGTGTCAGCCATTGTTTAAATTTTTTTTTTTTTTTTTTTAAACAAAAAACAGACAGAAGCAAACTGAGCCCAAACAGTCTGAAAGATTCTGATTTTCAACATTATTCTATAACACAGAGCTGTACAATTATAATGATAATATTTTCACTACAAAACGACAACGTAATGTTATTCTATTTAAAAAAAACCGGAACAGGAAACCAAACAAGCATCAAAAAGCAAAAAAAAAAAAAAAACAGGAAACCAAACAAACCATTTAAACACATTCACATTTAAACTACAAACAACAGCAGCGACAGCAGTTACACTTGGTCATTGTGTACAAAAATACATGTTTCAGAGGACGTCAAAACAAACACTTACCCCAATGTTGTTGGCCACGCACATTGTGGAAGAAAATCCAGGTATAAATAAAAGAGGACAAACGTTTAATATATATTTGTTTATAAACTGATACAAAAAAAAACCACTAACCGTTGACCGTTAATGCGTAGAGAACGCAGGTGAACCTGGTTTAGCTCATTACTGCAGTACGACTGGGCCTGGTTCCATTCCGTTTCTCTCGAATCTGCCGGCCGTAAAGAAAACGCAAAGAAACGCAATAAATATTGACCGTTAAAAACTCAATTTTAACTCAAAAAGTGTAAAGAATACATCGACAGAAATCCAGATTTTCACCTGGACGTCTCGAATTCAAACATAAAAAAGTATCATATACAAGAAACGACCTCAAAACCGTAGTCATTTGTGGCATTTTCACATCTACATTACTTCTTAAAATTACTTTTTTTGATCGATAGCGGCTAATTTATTATTTTTTTACGGTAAATTATTTATTTAGTGGTTGCGCTCAAAAGTCCAGAAATTACGGTATTAATATTTAGCCTCACCAAATCCAAGTAAAATCTGAGAGCCTAGTATTTAACTGTACTGTAGGTGGTGTACTCTTCGTATCCACTGTGCTACAGTGTGGAATGCACTGCACCTGAGACTAAGACAGAAGAAGAAGAAGAAGAAAATAAACGTATTTACTGGCTGTGTGCCTTAGGTGGAAGCTGTGGCAGTGACAGGTGCAGTAAACCGTGGATGATTTGTTTTTAGGTCAGCAGCAACTGGATTGGAGGTTTTATTAAAGATGTCTGAGCTCTCAGTGCAGAGGAAACCCTACAGATGGGAGGGGAGGGGGGTGAAATGTCTCCCACAAAAACTTCAAGTCCATTTCATACTGACTCAGTAAAACATTTTAACAACCACCTCAGATATTTCCCATGGATGCAGCAGAGGTTTTCTTCCTCCCTGCAGTCATTTGAACGTACTTCAAAATCAAAATCAATGTCAAATATTATGGTGATTTGATTTTTCATTTGTACTTTAATCACTTATATATACACTACCTGATATTTAGTCAATAAAGCCTGAAAAACAGCAGTATTTTGGACTTAGTTTGCTTCAACCAGCAACAAAGTATTTGTGTAAAATATAAACTAGTTCAAATATGAACTATTTAAACTGCAAAGTAATGTACTGGGTATCACATGGGCCTCATAGTACGATGGATTTAGGACCAGTTCAAAATTCTAATTGGGGTTTCTGTGGGGGTCGTGCATCGTCCTCTAGTGTCTTGTATATGGAGGTAAAACCTTACTTCCACTTGAGGGCAGTAATGAGCTCAGTCGAACTCAGTTTGCTAAACAATAACAAAAGTGGCAACAAAAGAGGGTGCTGTGTTACAGCGTGACATTTGTTCCCTTTAAGGACACGCCTAAACTATACTGCGCAACATACAAGCTGAGCAAATTACACAACAAACAGAAACTAAATAAATGCATACTTTGAGCATAACTAGACAAGTCCCATCTGTAGGTCAAAGAACCATAGTTTGAGCACCACTGTTTCACAGAAAGCAATAGAAACAGATGACTACAACCTTCTTCTGGAATCTCACTGATTCTTGCCACGCAGTCGTGGCTGAGGTCATGCTTCCAGTCACCACAGCAACAAACACTCTAACGTGTCATTGGCTGAGCAGCGTGCTCGGCCTTGTAACACCAAATCTTTATCTCAGGAAGCGTACGTGTCTGTGTGTGTTTTTACGTGTGCTAATAAGGTCAGTGGTCTGAGCAGCACCCACATCAACAAACATCTCTCCCTCATGACCTCGCCTCCGTGTCTTCAGTCAAATTGAACACATCAACAGTGTGTGTGTGTGTGTGTGTGTGTTTTCCTTAACCAAACAGATCTCACGTCCTCTGTCCTCACTTCACACTTGCTGCTTACCACAACCTCCAGCTCCAAATGGCCTTTTTTCCTGAAATAATACAATTCATGTGAATAAACAGTGTTTGGCTAACAGATGCTAGTACGCTAAAACAGCTAAATCAGTTAACTGAAAAGAGCACAAACTTTTTTGTCTTATTGTCTTTTTTATATGTAGATCTTATCAAAGGATATATGATGCTGCTTCCTGTTGCCCTGTGGTCAAACAAACCATTCCCCTTTGTCCCACTTGCCGTTTAGATCAGATTCACAAACACAGATGACAATTTTATGGGAGGAGGGGGTGGAAAACAGTGCAGCCCTGCAGGGACAATCAACTCCGAGATGGATTGTGTATCTGCTTTTAGTTAAATTGATCATAAAGCAGACGGAGGAAGAGACTCTCCGTCATGGTCTGCTTTATTCTGAGTCAGGAGCTGGGTTTATTTTGCAGGAGGGATTTGTGTGTGTGTGTGTGTTTGCATTTATTAACTTTCTTTTTTTTTTCTTTTCTTTTATCCTCTCCTGAATGTGGTATTGTGTGTGTGGTGTGATGTGACCTAACCCTTTATTCCACCCAGTAATGCAGGTCACCAGGCATGAGTCACACATGAGGTCAGGCAGCTTCCAGTGATAATATGGCTTTAGAGCCTGTAAATCTTTCCCTTTCTTACATTTTATTTGTTAGCCATACTATAATAAAAGCAAGTGAAACAGTGTGTGCTCTTCATTTTAATCCAAGTGGAATCGTTCAAATAAAAGTCCCAGATTTAACAAGTCAAGCAGCGCAGTGCAGTGCTGTATCGTAGGCACATCGTACTTATATCATGAGTCAGTTGCACTGAAGTAAGTACTCAGGAGTCTGGAAGTTAAAAAAACATTTTTTTTGGAAAAAGGTGACCCTGGAGAGTTCCAGTAAACACTTTGTCACATGTCAATGCAAAGAAACCAGAGAAGACTGTTGAGAATCACTTAGTGTGATCAATACAGGATTGTGTAGCTCCTGGACAGAAGGGACAACGCATTAAAAGCCGGGAGGAGACAATGGTTTTACAAGGCAGGGCTCGGCAGCAAGCATCAGAATGTTATATTCCAGTTTGAACATTTGGTTCATCAGGTTACTGTCATCCGGTGCTTATTTTCTGATGAATCCAAGAATTTGAATAATTCCAATGCCTCTGAGGTCGGCTGGGTTGAATCACATACCATTAAATCACTATTGAAGCCATTCTACATGGTTACAGGACTGCGCAGAACAAAGAAAGCACGGTAGTTGTGAATATTTGCTGCCATCTAGTGGTTAAAATAAAATATGACACAGACACTAATTATACATTATTATACACACGTATATGCTGTATATGTAGATGCAAAATTCCTATCTATATGTGTATATAATATATATATATATTACATAGGACAGTCGAGTATCATGGATATCAAATTAATCCCAGCTGTAATTTTCTCTTCAAATGATGCTTACTGACGCTTGCTTTTTCCACTTTTATTTTCCATTGCACAGTAATCTCTATCTACAGAATTTCTAAATTTTTGTGGCAGCAGATAAAGTCATAAACATCCATGTGAAAGTTGCATAAAACTGTACAAGAAAGATTAGCTACAATGAGAGAAAAACAAAACAAAAAAAAATACTGCAACTCACTGACTGATATTTGTGGGACCAGGGACAGAAGACGGCATATGGCAGACAGACAGGACTCCCTCTGGTTGTCTGAAGTGTGTGGATTTCATCGCTCTAGGTGAGAATAACACATACTGTACTGTATAGACGAAAACAAATCAATAATACAAGGGGGAGAAAACAGAGAGAACATTTTAAAAATTAACACATAGCAGCTGGGTTGGAAGGAGAGACAATGAATGTTTTTCTTTTAGGTGTGTACTTGAAAAAATCTTTTGACTCTTTTTTTTCCCTGGTGATAGAAAGACAGCACTACCTACCCACATCCACACGACGACAGTTACTAAACACAAGAAGGCCATATTTGTAGGAATATGAGAGCAAGATGCAGATAAATCAAACCAGAGGTCAGAGGTCGCCATCTGATGTCATCACTGGTGGCTTTGTCCAGTGTAAGAGACAGTGAACTGGACACAGGTGGACGGCTGATGGTGGGGCGGCTAAGGCTAAGACAGAGAAATCACTTAATAATCAACTGAAACAAACAAACCAAATAAATAAACATCTAAGGAAATTAATCCAATCCACATAAACACATCCTATCACACAGTAAGACGTAAACACACATTCACACGATGAATACTTCAAATGTCGTAGAGACCGTAGAGTCGTACTGAGTGGTTCAGGGTTTGTTTTTTTCCCCCATTTGTTTTAAAACACTAAACATTTCACGGACCGTGACGCAGTCTTATTATAAATGGCCGAGTTTCATTGCAACCTGCTCCGTGTCTTAAACCCTGACAGAGTGATAATGACGACTTTTTCCAAAAGTAAACGGGACCACGCCGGTGTGAAGAAGTCGTGGTGCGACCGGCTAAATGAAAAGTGCAGTGACAAAGCTAAAGCAACTCTTTGGCGTCAGAAAAAATATGGCCTCTCTCCTCTTTTGTTGCTCCGGGCAACCTTGACATTTATGCCCCCAGTTGGTCTTAGATTGTCTAACTATTTACTTATATACAAAGAAAGGTCAAAAGACAGTGTGTGTGTGTGTGAGACATCACATCTGGGTGTTTTCTGCAAACATGGATAGAGCAACGAAACACAAGTGACGGTGGGCGTTTCTGACACCAAAAACATCTGTTCATAAATACAGTCATGGTCCAACTGTCTCACTGGAACTGGGACTAACCGGTTCATGTTCTGTTCTCCAACATTTATAAACATGGAATCTGTTTTGTCCAGATACTGAGCTTCAGAAATATGCAAAAAATAGGTAGTTTTTAATATTCCTAAAGCCATTCCCATAGAGCTGGAGGAGACCCCCGGAGGTCTCTTTATAAATGATCCATTACTGACGATGTTTATTGTCAATTATTCAAATAGTTCGCTGGAAAAAGCCAAATTGTCAAAAAAATGAGGTCATTCTGAAGTTTCATGAATTGATCTTTTTTTCCCATAATTATTAGGAAAACATGACATCATCTGCTGATCTTCACATTTACACATGGTACTGTATGTGCTGGTAATTATGGTTTAAATATACTGTGATTATATTTAAATAATTCTCATAGGATCAGAAAAGTATCGTATTTGTTGACTGATGTGGACGCACACCAACGAGATGTTTTTGCTAGGTTACTTTTAAGAAGAAGAAAGAAAAGAAAAAAATAACCGGCAATAGCAATAATAATAATTTAAATCTGAGTATAATTATAATCCAGAATTAGATGATATGTAAAATAATTTGTAAAGGTATTTGGCAGGTTGTGCACCGTGAGCGTACTTTTATATTCTGAAGATTAACAGAAATGTGACTCATTCATATATGTTTTCAGGTCTGTGGCTTATTAAAAGAAATATTTTATATATATATATATATATGTGTGTGTGTGTATATATATATATATATTAACCCTTGCCCTCCTCTTAGATTCCAGCCCTTTACATTAAGATAAATTAATCTAAACAAAAGCCACAGTAAAAGGTTTTCCTCAATTCAGACCGTTGTCCACTTTCACAACAATAGAAAAATAAGAGTTTTTCCAGATATTACAGACAGAGCCAAAAGGCCAACACATGACAGGTAGAGGGGTGGAAACCAAAGATAAATAAGAAACGAAGAGATGCACATTAATGGTAACAAATACAAAAAAAGGTCGTAAGATACGGAGGAAAGTCCGGAGTCTTTGTTGAGATGAGGAGATATCCAGTGAACCACAGAGGAGGTTTTTTCACCGCCGCCACTTTCTGCATAGAGGAGGCGTCTCCATCAAACTGGATCTCCTTCTTACCGCCTCCTTGGCTCCCCCTGCACCCCCGCCCCCCGTCTCCTCAATACAGTATCCAGAGACGTCATTGCACATTGATTTGAATTATGTATATACTATGATATATTTAGATTTCTTTTTCTTCTTTTGCACTTAAAAAAAAAACGTCATTAGGTCTTTTTTTTTTTCCTCCAGCCATATACGCCGGTTTAAATACTGCCCTCCACAGACGCCAACATATTAAAGGATGCTTTTGGCAAATGAGAATGAAGACTCTTCAGGTGAGAGACAAAAGAAAAAGAAAATAAATCAAAAAGGACACCTTCATTTTGTTCCCTCCGAGTTTGTCTTTGTCCTTCTCCTTTGTCTGGCCCTCAGTTCCACGGTGAGACTGAGGTAAAAACAGTATTTAAACATTGTGCTAGGGACGGAACTCCCGAGAGTCTCAGTGAAGAAGGCTTGGAGGGTCGGGATAAAAGACGGAGGGAGTCACGATGAGTCTGTATGAGATCATGGAAGTGATGGTCTTGTCCCCGGAGCTCGGCTCCTGTCCTGTCACTGATCAGAACTGGTACCATTTCTTGTCCTTGCACTTTAGCATCATCTGTAAACACAGGAAATGTCACAGTGTAAGGAGAGAAAAAAGTTTATTTAAAACTTAGAAATGAATAATCAACAATATCCAGGTAATAATAAAGAGCCAGATTTACGATGAAACACTGCCGCCTAGTGGATAAAAAGTCGAATATTCACATTATTTGTCACCTTTTTTGTTTAAATAGAGCTTGGGTGGAAAATATTAACTTTTTTCTGATGTGAACTACTTTCCCTGGAAAGATGATGGACAATAAATAAAATTCAACTTATTTAAAGGATCAAATGCACCTGGGTAGCGGTGAAGGTTGATGGTTGATTACTCAACACACCATAAAACCTGAATCAAACCTGTGATCTTCTTACACTGTAAGAAACCTGAGCCTCTTACCTTATCTTGGGCCACGGTCGCCCTGATATGTTGAACCCCACTATTCAGCAAAAACCCATTTTTTACACCAGAGGTTTTTCTACCTTCCTGTTAATCTACCAAGTCTGGAATCGAACTCCACAACCCTGAGGGTGCCCATTACCTCATGGGCATGTTTAGAGAAAGAATCTGCGCTGGCCATCATGGCGGCCGTCCTCTCGTCCAGCTCGCCCAGCTTCTGACCCCTTTCATCCAGTGCTATCCGGGCACGTGCCAGATCTCCCACCACGCCGGACGCTGCCCCCTTCATGCCCTCGATGCCACCAGGTCCTGGGATGTGCTGAGCCAGGCTTCGAGATGCCTTTCCTGCGGTTATTTCACCGACTGAGACAAAGGCAGAGGAAGAGAGGAAATGTTAGCGTTCACCTCGACAGCAGTCTGTGGATGATGTATCTTGGGTGTGAAGGTCAGCGTACACAGCTCCTCCCTGTCCAGTGACTGAGCTCCTCCACCAAAGAGACCCTTGAAAAACCCTCTGTTTGGAGCTTCTGGTGTTTCCACAGGTGTGAAAAGTTCTCCCAGCATCTCCTGAAACAAACACACCGGCAGTTCAAGTACAATCACACAACACGGCAACATATTTGTCACTGAAAATATACAGGTTTATACACAGCAAGAAATTAAATTAACTTCAATTGAGTTTAGAATGTGGGGGCTGTAAACAGGGGTGGGGGGGGGGGGGGGGCCGGCGGGCTTTTAGGGTTTCACCGGGATCCCGGGTGGAGGG